AAAGAAATGATAATGGTGTCAAAGATAGTTTAAATTTTTGTGGAGGTATTACATCAAATTACGATTTGTGTGCTATATGTGAAGAAATGGGTCGTGACAACGAAGTGTGGTACCGTTGCAGACAGTGTGCGAGCTGGGCACATAAAGCTTGCACAAGTGCAGATAATGCCAACCAATATGTTTGTGATTATTGTAATTTGATTATCTGATTGAGACTTCGGTCTAAAATTGTGTTAATTAATTCAGAAATATCAATGTCTCAACATACTTCTTTCTTGTTTTTAAACTCCATTTATCACCCTAATTGCTTTGCATAATGTAACTTGTTATGCGCAATTGTTTACAACTTTTATTATAATATACAATATACAAGGATAGTTAGTTAAGATATTAATCTTGTCTCCCGAATTAATATATCGGCTATAGTTATTAGCGATAGAGATATTGATCTTTTTTACAAAAAAAAAAAACATTTTTTGTGATCCATTCTGTACAAGGGTTGGTCCATTCAGTACAATAAACAGTACTGAATGGACCACTAATGATTTGGTACGGGTCACATTTATCGCGCATTTTGCCTATGTTCTGTTAGCGCAATGGTTTACAACTTTTAAGGATTGTTAGTTAAGGTATTTATTTTGACTTCTGAATTAATATATCCGCCATAGTTGTTGACAATATCGGAAAAAATTATTAAAAAAAAAAGTTGAGTTTTGTGGTCCATTCAGTACCACTCTCCCCTACATTTAAAAAGTTAATTAGGGCACGTTAGTAAAATTAAATTAGACAAAATAAATAATATTATTCGAAAAAAATTATATTAGCAACAGTGGAAAAATACCTCTAATGTAATAAATTGGTTTTCTAAAATTAGTAATAATAATGAATGCAAATTTATACAATTAATGATTTTTACCGCTAAATTACAATAGAAATTTTAGATAAAACAATAGAATTTGGAAAATCCACGCTGAAATTACAGCCGACACTGTTCGTCTAATTAAACATTGCAGAAAAACTTTATTTTAATAACGAGACGTGGAAGAAAAAAAACTACGCACGAATGTTTTTTTTTTTTTTTTAAGTTGATTAAGGTGCCTACCACTTTTCAACTGATAGCGTCATCAGATACAAATGGCGTTCTTTTCCAATGAAATATAGACCTTCATATAGTGAATAGTCCTTGATCAACTTTAATTTATAGAAAAGTTTTTTTTTTTTAATGTTGATTTGAGGTACCCCAAGAAGTCCTTACAGTCTTATCACAGAGCACCGCGGAAGAGCATTTAATAGGAAGTTCACGCCTCCTTCCCAACCGATGTCGCAAAACTTGCCCAGAGGTGGGGTTTGAACCACGGATCTTACGTTTCTGAGGCTAGTGAGTTACCACTGCGCCACGGCTGTTTTGATGTAACAATGGGAAGTTACGACGGAGCAGAAGTTTGCGAATTTGCTGGCTTATACGTTTTAAATTCTCTAGCTAAAATAGTTCTTTTAATTCAATTAGATTGATTTCCAAATTGAAATAAATGTTAATATTATTTAATAATATTTTCTTGATGTCACTTTTAACTTCGCGGAAAATTCTTATAGGTCTTGTAAAAAACTTAATTCTGAATTATATATTAATATAAATTCAAATCACTCCCCTCAAATCTTAAAACAAATTCCTATTTCAATTAACAATAGACTATAAATAATCAAAACTCTTCTAATGAAAATATTTTTAACTCTTTCAAACGTGTGTATGAAGATGCTCTTAAAAATAGCGGATTTAAAAATTTCGAGCTAAAATTTAAAACAAAAATTTCAAAAAAGCGAAATAGAAATAGAAATATAATTTGGTTCAACCATCCGTACAGCAAATTTGTTTCAAAAAATAATGGAAAAGCGTTTTTAAAATTAGTAGACAAACATTTTCCTCACTCAAATAAATTGCACAATATTTTAACAGAAACACTATTAAAGTAAGCTATAGCTGTACAAAAAAAGTACACATATGAAAAAACGGTTTTGCCCCCATTGTGAGGCACAAGTGCACCCTCACAAAAATCGTTAAAGGTACACTTTTCATGGTATATATTTTTTTTAATTAAAGATTGCACAATTATATATCCACAAACTCATTTATAAAAATTAAATTAAAAAAAAAAATGTAATTTCCAACATCTCAAAACAAAACTATTTTTATTCAAGTTTTTACATGAACGAATTCAAGCGTGACGATGATATATATTGCTATTTGTAATTACCTAACTTTGATAAATATCAATAGTATGCGGTTGTATCTCTTGTCCGTCTATACGGTTCTGCCCCAGAAGAGAGTTTTTTAAAAAAATACAGTTTCTTAATTTGCTTATTTATTTATGTTGATATCAAAAATGGTTTTTACTCGATGAAATAACGCTGATAATGCATATCTTTAACACTAAAATCAAATATTGTTTATTCCTCAAATAAAAGGTCTGGAAAAATGTGACATAAAAATAATATTTTTATCAACATTATTATGTACAACTTTTCAGAAAGGCAACATTCACTCTTTTTAACATAAGCGAAACGAAGGAAACTGTTTTATGCTATTTGTGCTATTTTATGCCTTATTAAATAACATTTTTCAAAGGGAAATGTAAAAAAAAGGGTTGTGCGGTTATGGCCCCACTTACCCTATATATATGTATATATATATATATATATATATATATATATATATATATATATATATATATCATGTAAAAACTTGAATATATATATATATATATATATATATATATATATATATATATATATATATATATATATATATATATATATATCGCGAGGTTAGAATTATTTTGTTCTATCTCCACTTTTTGAAAAAAATGAGTTATTAATTGTGTAATGTACCTCAAAATAATGTTTTTCTACTATATTAAAGCCTAAGTTAAAATCAAAAAAGTTTCGGAGAAGACATAAGTAATAAAAATCTTTTTATATGCCGTCTCCTAAATTTTTTATTTTTTGAATCGTTTTATCTTGAAACAAAAAAATGTGGAGATAGAACAAAATAATTCTAACCTCGCGATATATACAGTGAGAACAGAATTTAATCGTACAAAGTAATTTTTCAATAAAATTAACACCTTTGAATAAAATAATGTAACATGCACTAATTATAAAGACTTTTTTTTCTCTCTAATTTTTTATTTGTTAAAAGACCTTCAAAAAAAAACTAAAACTTTTATTTCAGTATTTAAATTACCTGATTAGGAATTCTAAAATGAAGAAAGGGATAAAAACACAAGCACATAAAATAATTGTACAAAAAAAGCGTTATAGGTTAAAGCTAAGAAAAAATACCAGTTTATTAAAAAAACTGAGAAACAGTTTCAAGTTTTTATATTTTAATAATATACTTTAATATTTAGCTGGTCCTCCTTTGCTTTAACTACATCTAACAAGCGTTTTGGCATTGATTCTACTAGACACTTAATTTGATTATTGTCGATGTTAGACCATGATTTAACAACAACTTTCTTCAAATCTTCTTTTTTATAAATGATCTAGTACCTAATTTTTTATCTAATAAAGTTCATAAATGCTCCTTTGGATTCAAATCAGGGCTCTGCGAAGGCCATTCTAAAACGTTTATTCCATTTTCATTGAGAAAGCTTTTAGTTTTTTTAGCAGTGTGTTTTGGATCATTGTCTTGTTGAAACAAAAAAGTATTTCCCAATCTAAGCTTTTTAGCAGAAGATTTTAAACTTCGTTTCAATATATTTTTATACAAATTAGCATTCATAGTTTCATCAATAAACTCAAGTTTACCAACACCATTCCATGCCATACAACCCCATAACATTACACTTCCACCGCCATGTTCAACTGTTCCTCGTGTGCAACTTAAATGAAAAGCTTCACCCCTCTTTCGCCAAACTCTTTGTGCACCATCAGATTTTTTTAAGTTAAACTTGGATTCATCAGACCAAAGAACTTTTTTCCAAAATGATACAGGCATTAAATAATACTTTTTTGCAAAGTTCATTCTTCTCTTCATATGATTTTTTGTTAAAAATGGTTTTTTACGAGCTATACATCCACTGAACCCTGCTTTATGAATGCGATTTCTAATTGATGTAAGTGAGATTGTGTTTCCTGTTAAGTGTTTCAAATGATTTGCTATATTTTTTGCAGTTTCAAACCGATTTTTTTTTATCATTCTTAAAATTTCTCTATCGTCTCTTGAACTTGTCTTCCGTTTTCGCCCTCGTCCAGTATGAATTTCAAAAGTATCATATTGTTGATATTTCTTTACAATGGCTCCTACTGTTGTAAATGGAATATTTGTAAGTTCTTCAACTTTTCTATAAGTATTTCCTTTTTTAACCAAGTCTATAACAAGTTTTCGTTGAGTAGTATTTAAATATTTACCTTTGGGTGCCATACCATACAATAAACAGAGTTTTTAATGTCTTTTTCTTCCAAAATTTTATTAATTGCTAAAAATAATGTTCTAGAAATACAAAGTCAATAATAAAATTGATGTTTTATAAATTAAAAAAATTATAAACATTCATTTTCATAACAAATTACCAATAAAACAGTTTTGTACAATTAATTTATGTGCATGCAATTTAATACCTGTTTGAGAAAAAAAGCAAAAATTGTATAGTAAACACATTTTCTTATATATTTACTAAAAAATTATAAATAAGTAATAGTCATAATAAATTAAAAAAAAAAATGTTTCAATTATTATCAATATTATTCAAGTTAAAAACAAGTTTTAGCAAAATAAAATGGAAAAATTACTTTGTACAATTAAATTCTGTACTCACTGTATATGTATATATATATATATATATATATATATATATATATATATATATATATATATATATATATATATATATATATATATAATATATATATATATATATATATATATATATATATATATATATATATATATATATATATATATATATATATATATATATATATATAATTTTGTATTTTAGCTTTAGTCTAACACTGATTTGCAGAACTCATTTCCTTGTTTCATCCTTACTATTGGTATGAAATATGAAAAAGATTGGAATTGATTTTGGTTTGACAGGATTTAATTTTTATTGTAATATTATAATACTTGACATAATAGCTTTTAGTAATCATTGTTTCAATTATTAATGTAGTTGCTCTTCCAACACCATTGCGATAACCAAAATTAGTTGTTTAAACTAGTAACCAAAATTATAAGTAGTGATGCCCTTTAATTCATAATTAGAGCGCTGAGTTTTAATCTTGAATATTGCACAAAAGTGACGCAGGGTTGCCGAGAGCTTTCATGATACCAGGGATAAATCAGTTGTAGTAGGCGCCCCTTTAAACATACACGCATACACGATTTAAAAAAAAAAATTTAATTAAAAGCATATGCAATCACGCATATTTATGATTGTTTTTTAATGATCGTGTTTTACACGTTAAAATCTTTATGGCAATAATTTCATCAACCCAACCTTGAAAAAATACGATTTATGCAACACAAATACTATATAAAATGGCTGAGAATATTAAACATATTCTTTAGAAACTAAAGTAGCACTAAAGCCGTCTATTTAAAACACTCTCTTTTTGCTTTTTTACCAGCTAAATATATTATTATGTTATCATAAGATTTAAACTTAGCTAATTCATTTTCAACTGATAGCGTCATCGGATGCAAATGGCGTTCTTTTCCAATGAAATATAGACCTTCATATAGTGAAGCCTTCATATAGTCCTTGATCAACTTTAATTTACAGAAAAGTTTTTTTTTTTTAATGTTGATTTTAGGTACCCCAAGAAGTCCTTACGGTCTTATCACAGAGCACCGCAGAAGAGCATTTAATAGGAAGTTCACGCCTCCTTCCCAACCGATGTCGCAAAACTTGTCCAGAGGTGGGGTTTGAACCACGGATCTTACGTTTCTGAGGCAAGTGTGCTACCACTGCGCCACGGCTGCTTTAGTTGTTCATTATCTGCAACATATACTAGCATTGTATTAAAAAATCAATTTAGGATGCATACAGATGGGAAAATAGGCTGTATACCCTTTGATTGTATTTTATTAAGAAGGCTCAATAATTTTCCATAAGAAAAAAAGCGGAGACACCTTTAAATAAAATGCATAATTTCTTTCATATTTCGTCGTCTTCTTTGACATTATTAACGTAAAGTAGCGCCAATTCACTACCTTTTATCATTAAAGAATCTGTTGCGGAAATGTTGCATTTGCAGGTTCATCGTAAAATCGTTTTGCTCTCTTGTTTTGTTAAAAACTCAGTTTCAAAGCTAAGAGGATCTCCAATAGTTTTTGCTTTTACCAAAATATCAATTCATGTGAATAGAATGAGTGAATAGGGCCAAGATCATTAATTAGCTGTTGAAACTTAACATCACTAGTTACTCGGTGTAGTTAAGGCACTTTTAAAATACTTGTAGCGAAAAAATCCAGACCGATGATTCTTTTTTTTTTTTTTTAAATCATCTTAAAATCACAATCGCTCGTCCAAATTCAAATAAGATTTTATATTAACAAGTTTTTAGGTGAAATGAACATTATAGTTTAATATGATCTGTTCTGATTGTTTATTGGCAATTTTTCATAATTATAAGCTCTTTCTTGGTCGGAATTCCAATATTTTTTGTGAAAATTGATAGAAATATTGTGTTTTGACAACTATATAAATTAAGTATACGTCAGAACCGATTAGAACTAGGATCAGTAGTAAATTAAGAAAACTTTTCAAAAGATTTTAACTAAATTCATATTAATGCCGATGAGCGGAATTGATCTAAAGACTCCAAAATAGTGTTCTTTAGATACATTATTACGGGTAGTAAAAAAGTTTTGAAAATTGTATAAAAAAAAGAAAAGTTTCTTTAAATATTATAAAAACTTTAAGCAAAAAAAATTATAGCATTTAAAGATCTTGTTTGGGCATAATGTGCTGACAAAATCATGCTAATTCCAAATAAAAGTATATTTTGTAAATCGCTTTAATTACACCGAGTAGTGAAGTCTTCAACACAAAGAAAACAATTTTTTATCTCCCATCTTTTTTGTTGAAATTAAAGTGCAAAGAAAATAAAAATAAAAGTGGTTTGTTTTGTGTGTGACACATTCGGGGTCCCATCGGTAATGACCGTAAAGTATACTGCTTTTCTGATTTTCTTTAAAAGAACACACTGTACTAATGAAGCACACTCATGTATAAACTCATTCTGTGATTCCCATGAGATGTAAAGAGGTAATCCAAATTCCCTCTTTTTAGTGAGAATCTAAGTTTTCTAGCTTTTTTAATGTATTGTTATGTTTGAAATAATTTGCTGAGCGTCATCCAGGAAAATTGTTGTTCACTTGCTCTCCTAAAGCAGAACTTTAACTTGTTACAATAATAATACAAGAAACGTTAAAGAAAATGAGTTGTTGATACTAAAAAAATGATTTCTAAATAAAAAATATAGTTGACCTCTAAATTCCATGTTTTAAGACGAAAAAAACAATCTTGCATCTAGAATACAGCGCAATATTTCACGCTACTATGCTACCTCAGACTCAAAAGCTTGTTTGATAGCTGAATTAATCTCACTTTAATTGGTAAGAGTTGACAACAAAGTCTTCCAGTTGATGTATTGGCTTTGGTGAGCAGGGTTTAAGAAGACTAACACTGTGGGGGAGGTTTTATCTCTAGAATAAAAACTGCGATGTGATTCTTACTTTTTATATATTTCAGCAAGATAACTCAAGTGGATTAATATAAATTACAAGAATCCAAATATCCAATAACGCAAGAGAGTAAAAGTGTAAGAGTTATAAGAGATTCATTTAGCGCATGCCGCATTTGTTTGAATAGTAAAATTTCGCGGGCATGCACAAGAAGCTAAACAGGCTGCTGCTTTAACGAACTAACGCAACAGGGCTGTTATGATGTGCTTTGATTTAACTACTCAGTTTCCTCTAGTTGTATTTAGTTTCACCATTCCAAAGGAAAAGACATTGATCTCTAGCTGACCTATGACTTTTATACACAAATAGAGAACAAGTAAAACACACAAGTTAACAGCCGGTGCGCAGTGGTTAGTGGGCTTGCCTCAAAAGCAAGAGATCTGTATTCAAAGCCACCTATGGGCAAGTTTTATAATATCAGTAAGGAAGGAGGTGTTATATTCCCATAACAATCCATTAATGTGAAACCGCCATTAATATTTTATAGAATTCAGACGTTTTTGTTTTCAAACATTTCAAAATTACAATAAAATCTCATTTAAAAATCATGAACCATAAAAATTTTTTTTGCTGGTCTGACAACTTCACGATAAAATCACGAAACATAAAAAATCACGAAACATAAAAAATATTTTTTTGCTGGTCTGACAACTAAGCTCATTAAAGAGTTTAAAACTAGTATAGAGTGTATATTCTATACTAGTGTTTGTATACAGTGTGTGTTTTTTCTAGTGTCTATAAACGCTAGAAAAAAAAGGCAAAAAATACACAAAAAACACACAAAATATAGTTTATATTATATGATAACGCTTTAATAAATTTTTTAAAATAAATTTGTCTTCTGGCGCCCCTAACGTCTTGGCGCCCAGGTTCTAATAAGCCTATAAGATAAATAGGGCAGAGTTCTCGAAATTGGAACTGCACCTTAATTTGATCACTTGCATTTATTTTGAAAATAATTTGTCGACATGGCGACATTTATTTCTTATTTTTTTTTTTTTTTTTTATTTGTCATTAAAAAAAAAAGAATACAATGCCGTGTTATATAAATAAAATCTACATGACCGGGGCTAAAAGAAGACAATATTTGCCTTATCACTACACCCCGACGTGCTTTCATCAGCAAGCGTGTATAACCATTAAAATGTAAACATAAAACATAAAATTACTTTGTACCATTTAAAAATTATATACAAATACATACAAATATGTTGAGATCAGTTACTAATCTATAATCAAAAGAAAATTACAAAAACAAAATAAAACAAAAAAAAGCAATCACACTTAAAAACTGAAGATAAGCTAATAGGATAATTAAAGAAAATTTAAATTGGTTAGACTAGTTAATAAGATAGTTGTTAAAAAAGAAGATAAAAGAATCTTAAAAAGAATTTAATTCATTAACATCGTTAAGAAGTTTTTGTTTGAGTTTTTGTTTAAATAGAGAAAATGAAGAACAATTTTTCAGCTGGTTATTTAATAAAGTGTTCCATAATTTAGGACCTCTGATGGCAAAAGAAAATTTAGTAACCAAATAGTGTATTTTAGGTTGCTCGTAATTGTAATTTGAAAATCTTGTAGGGTACACGTGATTAATTTTATTGAAAAATGTATTAAAAATTATAGGAGTTAATTTATTATGTAGTTTGTACTTAAAAATAAGAATTTGATAAAGGTTTAACTGAAGAACATTGAGTATGTGACGATTTTTGAATAGTTCTTTAGAATGTGCGAATCGACCTGCATTTGAAATAATCCTGACAGCGTGTTTTTGTCTACTAAGCAATTTTTTAACTTTACTTATATTAGAGCTGCACCATGCAATATTTGCATAGTTTATATAACAATGTATGAGGGGAAATTATAAGATTTTTAAGCAGTTTGGTTTAAGATTTGCTTAGCTTTGTATAGTATGCCAATATTTTTCGAAGTTTTATTTTCAATTGTTCTTATGTGTTCTCTCCATGTCATGTTTTCGTCAAGTATCACTCCTAAAAACTTTAATGATGACTCTCTAACTATTTTAGAGTTGCCAATGTAAAGGTCAGGAAGTTTTAATGGAATATTTTTTTTATCGTGAAGTCTATGAAAAAAAGTATACTTAGTTTTATTTAAATTTAAGGACAATTTGTTTGCCTTAAACCATCCGCTAGATTTAAAGATTCCTTGTTTACTATTTTAAATAAGAAATTGATATCTCCATTAGAATAAAATAAATTTGTATCATCTGCAAATAAAACTGAGTTTAAAACGTTTGAAAACTTATGGAAATTGTTCACATAAATAAGATATAAAAGTGGACCCAGAATTGACAAGTATTCAGTTTTTATTTCTTCGTGAGCTATGTATTGTTTTCCATTGTTTAGATAACTTAGCCATTCTAAATATGTACTTTTA